CCCTGAGTTCCATCCCCAGCACTGCTCCCCCATCAAAGAAGAAGAAGGAGGAGAAGAAGGAGGAGAAAGAAGGAGGAGAAAGAAGGAGGAGGAGGAGGAGAAGGAGAAGGAGAAGAAGGAGAAGGAGAAGGAGACAGCTTGGTAGTTCCTTAAAATGTTAAAATAGATATTGCATGTGACTCAGCAGCCACAAGCCCATGTATGTGCCCAAGGGAAACTTAGGACCTGTGCACAGAAGAGAGTATGGAGAGTGCACAACAGCTTCATCACAGGAGCCAAAAAGGACACACCATCTGGGAGGCCATCACTAGACCAATGGGCACAAAGGACAAGGGCTGTGGGATTCCAGATGCATAAGCTGCCTGGACTGGAGCCGGGCAGTGGGACAGCAGCGAGTCCCACTACACAGGGTTTCTTCCCTTATTTTATTTTATTTTATTTTATTAGTTGTAGATGAACATAATATGTTTATTTCATTTGTTTATTTTCTTCAGACGAAATCCAGTGCCTCACACATGCCAGGCAAGTGCTCTACCACTGAGCCACAACCCCTGCACCAGGGTGTCTTTTTGAAGTGACAAAAACATTCTAAAATCAGATTGTAGTAAGAATCGTACAACCCTGTAAATATTCTAAAACTAGCTTTCTATCTATGTACAGTTTTATAATGCAGATATCAAGAAATCCAGAGAAGAGTTCCCGGGTCCTTGGCCCCATCCTGCCACGGCCCGGGATCTGGGTGTCAGCTCAGGGTTGGAAGCATGCAGTGGACCTCAGGACGCAGTGAATGAGTGGCTCGGTGCACAGACCCCATGGGAACTCTGCAGTCACCAGAGGACCGGGGCACACTCGTCAGGTGTGGTTCTGAGCAACTTCAGAATGTTTCAGACCCTGCAAAACATCTCCAGAGGGTGGAGACTGCTGACCATGAAGGACACTTTCAAGAATGAGTGTCTACCTCAGGAGCCGTCAGGGAAGGGGGGTCTGGGGTGCCACGTGTTCTGCACAGCACCGTTCTGCATTCAGAAAAGCTGTGCAAGGTCACCCACAAGCTCCAGAGAAACCTGTGGAGCCTTTTTTTTTTTTTTAGTTGTAGATGGACACCGTGCATTTATTTTATTGATTTATTTTTATGTGGTGCTGAGGATCGGACCCAGGGCCTCATGCGTGCTAAGAAAGTGCCCCATGGATCTCCAGCCCTGGCCCCCATGGAGTCTTCAGGCTGAGTTACTGAGGGAGGCAGTAAGTGCCGCTGTCCCCCACGGCCTGCCCCACAGGCCCCTCGCCCAGAGCTCCACAGCATCTCTGGGAGGCAATTTTGGTGGAAACCTGTGAAGCCCTGGGAGACTGACACAGATGCATTGAAACAGATTGAAACCTGGATGTGAAGACCACTCCTTCATCCCAGCAACCAGGAGGCCCAGACAAAAAGGTCACAAGTTCCAGGCCAGCTTGGGCAACTCAGTAAGTCCATACATCAATAAAAGTTAAGGGCGAGGATATGGCTCAGTGGTAGAGCACTTGCCTTGCATGCAGAGGGTCCTGAGTTCAGTCCCCAGCTCCACACACACACATACAAATCAAATAGATCTTCTTCCTGTGACCTATCAATCCTTGGCATTATTCAAGAGAAATGAGAACATATGTCCAGACAAAGAAGTGCTAGGCCCATGTTCCTGACTGCATTATTTACAATGGCTAAAACATGCAGACTGTCCACACCGCAATTCCAGGGTGAACCCCTGGGCACAATGTGCCTGAGCTGTCTGAAGCCATCCTGTTTACCATCCACAGGAGGAGAGACTGAGACCTCCTGCGTGAACCTCAGGAACAGTAGCGTCCAGAAGTCCAATGCAAAAAGCTCCAAAAAGCTCCAAGCACAAAGTGTTTGTGCCCGTGGGGGGTGGGGGGTGGGGGGCAGACGAAGCCCAGGTGAAGCCTGCAAACTGGCCCTGAGCAAGTCTGCCCCTCAACACAGGGCTTCCTTGGGTTGGGAGCCTCCAGATGCCTCTCTCACGGTTCTTAATAAAATGTATAATAAACCATTGTGAATGAAATGCTTTTTAAAAAAGCAAACCTGTAGTGGCAGAAAGGGTGCGTGCTTATCTCTGGCAGAATGGGAACAGGGACACATGGAGTCCAGATCCTCTAGGTGATCCAGACAGTCTAAGGCTGAATTGTGGTCATGTTGCACGACTCTGTAGTCCACCAAAGGATCACCCAATTGTCCACTTAGAGTGAGTGAATGGTATGGTGTGTGGAAAGGGTAACTCAATAAAGCTGCTTATTGAATGCTCTTTAATAAGCAAGCAACAAAGTAAAACCTGAAAAACAAACCAGAGCAGTTATGGCTGTGAACTTCATTCATCAAAGCATCAGGACAACGGGGGGGG